TGAAGCGCCTTGTCTTTCACTTGCTTCTCCTCAGCATCTTCCAGCACAGCTTGAATAGTTGAGAGCAAGCTGGAAAGTTTTTTCATGTCTTTGTCAACACCCCAAAGCAACCCAATCTCCTTTCGGATAAGCGAGTTCAAATTCTCCAGCAAAATTTTAACAAAAGCATCAGCCATTGGCAATTGCAAGTTGGAAAATCCAAAGATCTGTGAGAGATTTGTTACGGGAAGGGGATAGAGGTGGCCTGAGTAGACGAGTAAATGGAATTGGAAGACTTGAAGGTGTTTGGAAGTCTATAGTTAAAATCCACATTCATCACCATCTAAAGCAAAAGCAGCTTTGTCCATACGCAAATAAGGATCCTCATCTTTGCAACCTCCCAAAAAGTATTCAACGCATCCCTGTTTTTCTTTTCTCTCTTCAAAATGATCGGGTATAGCCAGTTGCTCTTTGGTTACTTCTTTATCCGTTTGAGCTGGTTTTCGAAGCCCAACCCATTAATGAATTTGATATTGCAAATAAGGCACGAAAGAATTACTATTTGCACTCCTTTGTACGGTCGTTTCAACATGTTACCGCAGCATGTCAAGTTTTTAGATTATATTCTGTGTGAATATTTTGATTTTCTGCAGAAAAAGAACGTTCAGACCGTTTTGATATGATGCTTAGAGTATTAGCTTTGTGTATTGCTTCTCTCTGTGTTTTAGCTGATTTTTTTTTTTTTTTTTTTTTTTTGAATTATAGTTTGCTTTTGCCCTTTACACTGTTTGTGGTTCTGTAAGCTTGTGGATTTTTAGTTTATAGAGGAAAGAGGAATTTGCATCTTTGATGAACACTTCACAAGCAGTGATGGTGTCCCATTAATTTCATCAAATAAGTATGCATGTTTGCAGGATCTTTTGTCTAGGAAATAGTTGTAAACTTTCAATCCAAATATTCTTTTTTATTTGTTAAAAAGCATAATAAAGTCTATTTGGTTGAAAAGTTTTGATGAACAGTTGGGTATAATTCTAAAAAATAATACAAAGCTGTTTTCGTTATTCAGTATGAAACTGTATAACATTACATCCACCATTTTTGGAAATTGTATTCGGATCTCCTGTCCCTTTTTCTTCATCAATTATATTTTTACTCTTGAGAGCATCATTAAATTGGTATGCACAATTGTAAATTAATGGATTACTATATAGAAAAAATTCACCAAGTTGATTGCCAGCACTATCTTGGCGACTGTGAGTCCAAGAATGAGAAGAGAAAAGCTGATGAAGTTGTTCAAGCCTCTAATGGGAGTCAATAGTTGAATGGAAAAGAATTCTCAGGACCAACCAACTATAGATGTAAGATTTACATGTTCTTTGAGTTGATCTCTACCGAAATTGTAATATTTTCAAAAAAAACAATATATACATTTCACAAATAGAGTTTAAGTCTTGGGATAACTACGTTAACAAGTGGAAACGGGAAAGGAAAACTCTATTATTTTTCCTCTATCAGGAAAATACTCGTGAGAGTTAACCTGATGGTTAAGGAGGTTTACTCATTTCTTTGAATTCTTGCTTCAAACTTTAGGGTCACCTATCACAATAATATTGTGACTTACTTGATCATTTAGGCTTGTCAGATGCTCAAAGGACTCAGCTTACCTGATCATTTGGATTTATAAGGTGTTCAATGGACTCAACTTATCTAATCATTTGAGTTTATAGAGTGTTTAATAGATTTCAAGTATTAGTTGAAATGCACGCAAAACTATAACAATTGAGAGAGACTATATAAAACTGACAGATAACTGTTCCGTCATCAAATTGTCCTCCCATGACCATCCTTTTCTTTGATTTCTTCCAAGCGATGAGATGCAAAAGAAGCCAGCTCACCTCTTTTTCAAATTTCACCAATAAATCAACAAGCCCTCTGCCCTCGTCTCATTAATACAGTACAAGTGGTAGCTTCAAATGGTCATCCATCTATACACTGTCCTCTCTGGCCAGTCAGTGGCTAAGCTCCAGGACGACTCCATTATGAAAGAGGTGGAAATGATTAACTCTTCTAAATCCTTACCACTGTGGTCACCACCCAGAATTCTCGCCACCAATGGTACCCTCTAAATACAGCCACCTATTTTAGTCCTACTCGTTGTCTCTTTCAGTATCATAATGCATTGGATTGCGCTTTTATCTACAGTACCTACTTTCTCCCACATTTGTGCAACCCGGTTGCCTTTCAATGTTCTTTTCATTTGCCACAAAACCAGAAATATAACTAACAAGCATAAAAACATTCTCAGTCCTACACAAGTATTTATTCAATCAATAAAATCTAGCGCTGGAAATTTAGCTTCAGTCTTTTCTAAGATGTTCCATCTACTATAAAAAGGCATTATGAAAGGGAAAGAGTTGACTTATAAACAGCCTTAAAAATCCATCCAGTAGAAACAGCAATAACTAACATGAACCAGGAAGGCAGTCTGAAAACCAACCCTCAAAGAAAATCCAAGGAAATTTTGTTTCCAAAAGTCAATGACAAAAGTTAAAATAAATTGTATCAAAATCAGGGGTGTCACTCTGTTTATGCAGATAAAAATTTACACCAGTAAACTGACTCACTAGAATAACTTGTGTACAACTTAACTTGAGAATCAACCATAGAGCAATTGCAATAACTTTAAAACTGTAGATTGGCACAGCAAAAACTTGAAGAAATGTTGCAGTACCGTGTCAGCAGGAATTCAATCAAACTACATCAGACAGCCAACATAATGAGCTCGAGGATACTTTCTCTGTAATTGTGGCCATTGCACAAAGAACCGATCAGCTATGCGTAACTTTTAAAGAAGCAAGCCGCTTAAAGAAAGCCTTTTTACTCTTGCTATACTCTCAACATAGAAAACAGAGGACCGACTATTCTCATGACCTGCAGGCAAAGATGACAAAGTAAAATGAGGAACTCTTAAGACCATCACTTCAGCCTTTATCTAGCCAAGAAAAAACCCAAACCTAAGGGTTCAGAAGTATCTTCTACATACCTAAAATAAAAATGCAATTACGCACAGAGGAATACAAGTCCCAGGTCAATTGCAAAGAACCTAGATAGAGAGCAATTTGAAATTGGTGATGATACGATTTAAGAAAATGCTTAAGTAACATTGCAATAACTACAACAGAACACAAGAGGTAAAAGGTCAAAGCTAATACCACTTGTGGTCTGATTCTAATCATTAGCCACAGTGCATGTGCAATGGCAAGTAAAGTTGTCCAAACAGAGCTTATATATGATTGACCAACTTCCCTGCTTCGGTAGATCTGCATGAACTGTGCAGAGGGTCCCTTGACTACATTCTGAAGATAAACAAAAGCCAATTAAATGAAAAAGACTTAAAATTAGTAAATGCATGATTTGGAAGAAAAGACAAGTAATACCATAATCAGGTGAAATACATATGATGCAACTTTTAAGTGAAATGAATGGCATTTATGTATCCATTTAATATCATCCAGATAACAGAAAAAAATAAATAAATAAATTCTCTTGATTCCACCATTCACATGTTAATTTACACATTCCACAAAAGAAATTCGTAATATCATGCATCCAAAAAAGGCAGAGTGTGATCAACTTGATGACTGATATCAGTTATTTTGCATATACAGTATATGTAAATAGAGAGCAACACATAAAGAGAACTTCTAAACGACCACCTATATAACAGATGGTATACAATGTTTCAAGGAGTTCCATACCAAAGCTTTGAGTCACTAACTTGGAACTTTTGTTTTCCTTCAGAAATCCCCTAAAACCAGTAAGCAAACTCACTTTAAATCAGTCCCCACAAACTCAATCTAAAAATTCTATTCGGACTACTCCCTAACCAATTTAGGGGTTCTAGCATCATGCTAAATCATTTGTTTTCTGATGAGCCACTTGGGAGGTTGGTATACAGTAGGAAGCGTAGAGGTGAGAAGTAGAGGAATATTTGTTATGCATGAGTGTTAGGAGTTGTTTTTGGGAGGACAGGTGGCTTAATGAGATTGGAAGGATGAAGAATTTGGTTATGAGCAAAAGGTGTCAGGAAATAAAAGTGAGGGATATTCAGAAGGAAGGTTAAGGTTTAGAAGGGGAGGTGACTGACCCTCGAAGTTCAGTCTTTATCTTTGTTTTTGCTGTACTTAGAATTGTTCCATTTTGCTGATAGATTGCTGAGTAGATGATAGAACATGATCTTCTGGATGTACTGTTCTGTTTTAATATCAATATAGAGTTTATTTCCTTTTCTTTTTTGTGCTTATTGATTGTTTGAACTGGTATTGGATGGAGTTGTTTGTGTGTATCTTGGTGGTTTAACAGGTCAGTGTTCTATCATTTTCCTCAACTCCTGCCGTATTCAAGATTCAGTCCATAGATCTTGCCCGAATGGTTGTGAGTCTGCTGTTTTCACCACTCTGAGGCACATAGAGTGCATCACTTCTTTACCTACTACACTTTTAATTTTTAAAACGCATTACTTCAGCTTGACTGATTAATGGAAGTTAAAAAGTATTTACTTAACACCAACAAAACTAACAGTAACTTAAAATATAACGATCAGACATTCTCAAAACTTCTAAATATCAAAAATTTGATATGGACAAAAAAATCAAATTTGCAATTATGGGAATAAAAACGCACAATTTAATAACAGAATATACCTTATGAACCAAAGAATCCTCGAAAACGCGAACCTTTTGAAGACTCATATTATCAGTGGCAGCAGCAATGTAAAAGTTGAATTCCATAAGAATTTCGCAAATAATCAAACAAAAATTTAGATACAAATGAATACGAAAAACCAGTATGTAGCAATTTAGTATAGTTCTCTCCATACAAGGAGAAAAGCATAACCAAAATGAAATTGATCACAGAGCCTTTTCATGGTTTTTGGCTATATACTTAAGCAGAAACATGTGTATACATATACTATTACATGAAAGTTTCACATTAATTAATAATTATGCAATAAGCATGAACTAACCGTTCATACCTTCACGGCATTCCTGCAATATCACTAGCTCTTCATACCTGCAACAAATCAAAATATAATCTATGTTTATGGGGACAAAATGTTAAGCAATTGAAGAAATTGAAAAAGGACACATTGATAGACAGACCGCCCAACTTGATGCAACTAGTAATTATTTAGTGTAACTTCACAATTGAAGAAATTGAAAATAGGCACATCGATTGACATACCTCGCAATAACGTTCGGAACATGTGCTATCTTGTACCAATCTTCTCCTGTTTCCTTCTCACATCGCTTCACCAGTTCAGGGCATTTGGATATGAACAAATTTTGTAGATTGGTCAAGCTCTGGATGCTGGCTGGAAGAGATGACAACTTTGGGCATTTATAAATATTCAAAGACTGAAGAGATGTTAGGTCTCCTAGCCAGTGAGGCAATGATGCTAGTTCAGGGTACCAGCATATGCTCAATTTTTGCAGTGCAGGGACATACCTCATGGACTCAGGCAACACTGTCAACTTTGGACAATTACTGTCTTCTCTGCCACATTCTGTCCAAAAGACCAAGTCACAAATACCATTGATAAATGATGCGGGTTTGCCACATATGGTCAACTCCCGGAGGGAACTAAGGTATTTGATACTATTCGGAAAAGTCACCAACTCAGGGCAACCATTAAGTGTCAAGCTTTCAAGGGCGGAGAGATTTTGTAACCCCTCTGACAAATTAGAAAACTTTATGCACATTTCTAAAGTCAAATGCTGAAGAGAGTATAGGCCTCCCAGTACTTGCTCCGGAAAAGCCTCAAGCTCAGGGCATTCAGAAATTGTTAACAATTTAAGACCACTGAGGCTAGCTCGATCTGTGACAAACCCTTTAAGCTTTTCGAAATTGCTAATAGACATTTCATGAAGAGAGGAGAGATTTTGCATAATCTCATGAGGAAGGTAAACTAAATCGCAATTTCTCTGAAGACGTAGGCAAGTAAGGCTTCTGAAATGTGAGATTGATTTTAGAAGTTCCCCATTGCAGGAAGAAATAAATAAAAATTTTGCTGAAGGAAGACAAGGCAGGGTGGTTAATTCAGGACAGCCGTAAATATTTAGCTTCGTAAGACATGAGAATAACTCGCTTCCATCCTGTCTTGACAACCTCTGTAACCTCGACAATCCATTAATACAGAGTTCCTCCAAAGACAGGAATTTTCTCTCACCTTGGAAACTTGTATCAACGTACTCCAGGTTAATCAAATTTATAATTGTAAGATAACGAAGCCGAGGAAGTTGCCACAAGGGAGGAAGTTGTCGACAATTCTCACAGTTAGAGAGCGTGATAGAAACAACATTACTTAGAATTTGATAATCCATCCAAACTGGAAATTTGGCACCTTTATAACCTTCAATTTTCAAAATTTCAAGGTTTGAGTGAGGTTGGAGAGCTTCAAATACTTTTTCAAACTTTTCATGGGATTCTGATTCACTATCAAGTTCCCAAGATAATTCCAAGCGGCGTAGATTCGGTTTTCCGACCAAATTGGCTTCTTGGGCATCCATCAGATTGCCCACTCTATTAAGATGCGTGACACGTAATTCTTCTCCAAGATTTAAACCTTTCAATTCAGCCAAGTGACAACCTCTCATCTTACCCACGATGAAGAGAGTTAAAGTTTTTAAGCAAGTGATCTGTCCAATATGTGGAGGCATTTGAGATAACTTGGTAAAACTATTTAGATACAGATGTCGAAGATTTTTCAAGCATCTCATGCGCTTAGGTAGCTTCCGAAGTTGATCACAATCTTTCAGATTCAAAGTCTGCAAATTAAGCAAGCTACAAAGTGATTCGGGAAGTAGTTCGATATCGCTGGAAGAAAGGTCCAGGTACCTTAGATGCTTTAAATGCCGAATTGAAGTTGACAACGACACTCCAATTGCACGCATACGGAGAACTCTCAATGAGATTAATCTCGAGATATCACAAGAAAATGCCAAGTCTCCAGCCATGATTATTGTCCTTAAGGTTTCAACTCCATACAAAGCTTCAGAACCTTTGTATGATGATTGGAAAGAATCAACGTATATTTTGACATGAAGAGTGCTTTTTGAGATATTATTTGAACCATTGGCCTCCATGACAGCAAATTCATCTTTCACAATAAATTGTGCAAGATCATGAACAAGATCATGCATTTTAAATAATAAATTATTCCCAAACTCATCCTTTTTTGCATCTTGAAAAAAGGATCGCCAATATAGTTCATTGCATATCTCAATGCCAACATCTTCTGGCTCAAAATTTTGACGACCCTGAATAAAGCCATTGGCCATNAAGGGCGGAGAGATGTCGTAACCCCTCTGACAAATTTGAGAACTTTATGCACATTTCTAAAGTCAAATGCTGAAGAGAGTTTAGGCCTTCCAGTACTTGCTCCGGAAAAGCCTCAAGCTCAGGGCATTCAGAAATTGTTAACAATTTAAGACCACTGAGCCTAACTCGATCTGTGGCAAGCTCTTTAAGCTTTTTGAAATTTCTAATAGACATTTTGCGAAGAGAGGAGAGATTTTGCAGAATCCCATGAGGAAGGTAAACTAAATCGCAATTTGTATCAAGATGTAGGTAAGCAAGGCTTCTTAAATGTGAGATTGATTTTAGAAGTTCCCCATTGCAGGAATAAATCTGTAAACTTTTTGCTAAAGGAAGGCATGGTAGGGTTAATTCAGGACAATCGTAAATTTCTAGCTTCGTAAGACATGGGAATAACTCGCTTCCATCCTGTCTTGACAACCTCTATAACCTCGGCAATCCACCAATACAGAGTTCCTCCAAAAACGGGAATTTTCTCTCACCTTGGAAACTTGCATCAATGTACTCCAGGTTAATAAAATTTTCAATTTTAAGATATCGAAGCCGAGGAAGTTGCCACAAGGGAGGAAGTTGTCGACAATTCTCACAGTCAGAGAGCTTGATAGAAACAACATTACTAAGAATTTGATAATCCATCCAAACTGGAAATTTGGCACCCTTATAACCTTGAATTTTCAAAATTTCAAGGTTTGAGTGAGGCTGGAGGGCTTCAAATACTTTTTCAACCTTTTCTCGGGATTCCGATTCACTATCAAGTTCCCAAGATAGTTCCAAGCTGCGTAGGTTCGATTTTCTGACCAAATTGGCTTCTATGGCATCCATCAGATCACCCACTCTATTAAGATGCGTGACACATAATTCCCCTCCAAGATTTAAACCTTTCAATTCAGCCAAGTGGCAACCTCTCCTCTCACCCACAATGAAGAGAGTTAAAGTTTTTAAGCAAGTGATCTGTCCAATATGTGGAGGCATTTGAGATAACTTGGTACAGCCATTCAAATAAAGATGTCGAAGATTTTTCAAGCATCGCATGCGCTTAGGTAGCTTCCGAAGTTGATAACAATCTTTCAGATTCAAAACCTGCAAATTAAGCAAGCTACAAAGTGATTCGGGAAGCAGTTGGATACAGGTGCGAGAAAAGTCCAGGTACCTTAGATGATTTAAATAGCGAATTGAAGATGACAACGACACTCCAATGTCAGGCACACAGAGAACTCTCAACGAGATTAATCTTGAGATGTCACAAAAAGATCCCCAGACATTATCTGTAGAAAAATCTGGAGCCACGATTATTGTCCTTAAGGTTTCAACTCCATACAAAGCTTTAGAAGAATCAGAACCTTTATATGACGATTGGTCCAAATAAACATCTATTCTGATATGAANAAATTTTCAACGTTTATTTCTTTATCTTTATCTCTACCATACACTTGAGATTGAGTAATGATGGAGCCAGTTTGGCGTTCTTCTCCGACTTCAGCTCCCTTCTGTGAAACTGCCTCAGTCAAATGAAACTTTGTCCTCTCCTCTGCAATTTCATCTAACCTCTCGCTAATCTCTCTCATCCTAATGCCAATCTTGCGACAAAATAAAATAGTATCTGGACGAAGGTCATTTAAAAGAGGAGTGTTTACCTTGTTGATACACCACGAATTTTGGTCTTTAGACTCTAATCGAGAGACTTCTGTTGCACAATCATCCAAGATGTCATCTACCTTATAAGCTGCTTCTTTAGCTTCTGCAGCCAATTCTGAAGCACCTTGTCTTGCGCTTCCTTCTCCTCAGCATCTTCCAGCACAGCTTGAGTAGTTGAGAGCAAGCTGGAAAGTTTTTTCATGTCTTTGTCAACACCCCATAGCAACCCAAACTCCTTTCGGATGAGTGAGTTCAAATTCTCCCGCAAAACTTGAATAATGTTGGAGTTGTTGACTACTTCAGCATTAATGGGTAACGGAGGCGCACTCGGGAGTCCTTTTTGGATTGGGCTTAGGAATAAGAATCCTTGTAAAACTAGGTTTAATCTCTTAAACCTAGTATATAATCATACTTTTCTCTTGTTATGTGTGTGAGAGCAATTCATTCATTGTAAACGAGAGAAATGAGGCATATTGCAATAATATTGACTCAGCTGGACGTAGCATACATTGGGTGAACCAGGGTAAATCGCGCGTATTATTTTCTTTGTTTACTGTTTGATTTGTTTTAATATTATATTTTGTTCCTGTTGTTGTCTCTATTTCGTTCAAATAAAAGGGTCATCCATTTGCAATTGCAAGTTTGAGAATCCAATGCACTGAGAAAAATTTGTTATGGGAAGGAGATAGATGTGGCCTGAGTAAATGGAATTGGAAGACTTGCATGTAGCCTGAAAGTCAATATTGTAAGGAAGAATTTATGGCAGAAAACCTGACTCGGAAATTTGAGTCATGTGCTGGCCAGTTAAGAAAAGAACAGATTACCAACTAATCTAAGAAGGGCAAAGTATTTGTTACTTTTACTTTTAGCTGCTTCTCCTCTGTATCTTCAAGCACAACCTGAATAGTTGAGACCAAGCCAAAAAGTTTCTTCATTTCTTTGTCAACACCCCAAAGCAACCCAACTTTCTTTAGAATGAGTGAGTTCAAATTCTCCTGAAAAATTTGAACAGAAGCCCGTTTGAAATGCAAGTTCAAAATTCCAAAGCTCAGAGAGAGAATTGTGATTGCAAGTACTAGCAAATAATATAGAAACGTTTGTGTGCGATNCCTCAGCATCTTCCAGCACAGCTTGAATAGTTGAGAGCAAGCTGGAAAGTTTGTTCATGTCTTTGTCAACACCCCAAAGCAACCCAACCTCCTTTCGGATGAGTGCGTTCAAATTCTCCAGCAAAATTTGAACAAAAGCATCAGCCATTTGGAATTGCAAGTTGGAAAATCTAAAGCTCTGTGAGAGATTTGCTATGGGAAGGGGATAGAGATGGCCTGAGTAGATGAGTAAATGGAATTGGACGACTTGAAGGTGTTTGGAAGTCAATATTTGTGGGTCCTGACTTGGAAATTGGAGTCATGTGGCATGCTGCTAAGAAATTTACAGATTAACAATTAAGAGAAAAGAATAGTAAGGCTTTTAAAAAGGCTAGCTTTCTCGGTCTATGGAATTTTCAAGGAATGATTAAGTGATAAGATTGAAACAGTAATGGTGACAAATGCCTTCGCCGACAGAACTCACTAACTGATTGAGAAGAATAAAAAAATGAAAGCTTCTAGAAAAGCCTACTTTTTCTGTGACAAGATAAGATTACTGTTAAATGGAATTGGAAGACTTGAAGGTGTTTGGAAGTCAATATTTGTGGGTCCTGACTTGGAAATTTGAGTCATGTGGGATGCTGCTAAGAAATTTACAGATTAAAAATTAAGAGAAAAGAAATAGAAGGCTTTTCAAAGTGCTGCCTTTCCCTGTTTGTCTATGGAATTTTCAAGGAAGATGAAGATGGAAATGCAATTTCTACTCTTATTTTATTATCAGACTAAAAATATGTGTAGAATGATTAAATGATAAGATTGAAACAGTAATGGTGACAAATGCCTTCACCGACAGAACTCACTAACTTCAGATTAATTTATTATCAGACTAAAAAAGAAACGAAAGCTTTTACAAAAACTTACTTTTTCTGTTATGGTGTGGCCCCGTCATACCCCTAGTTAGCCCGTCCCTGAAGGTGATAAGATTACTGTTAATGGAATTTGATCAGCCATTATAATCAATAAGTTACACAATACACATTGTGTCCATTAGAAGTTTATACTTCACATTATTATTCAATGACTGAAAAAAAAGAAAAAAAAAAAATCAACCGAAAATCAAGTAAACATTATGAACCCCACCGACAAACAAGTGAAAAAATTGATAAATTTATTACATTTTACAACTATTTATTCAGATTTCACAAAAGCAACAATGAATAACAGCTAATCGGTCACACCTAGTACAAGTTAATTCCAACAAGTATAGCCTGTATACGAAGTGTGCTTTTACTCTTTTGGTGGATCATTCTTTAAGGATTCATCTATAGTAGAAGGAAACTCCAAGCCACCAAATCCACATTCATCACCATCTAAAGCAAAAGCAGCTTTGCCCATAAGCAAATAAGCCAACCTCAAAGCCTCCTCATCTTTGCAACTTCCCAAAAAGTATTTAATGCATCCCTCCAGTCTCTCCACTCCTCCTCACACTTGGGTCCCTTAACTCGAACAGTCTTTACATAAAACCCCACCCCACCCTTCCTCTTTTTCGTTTCTCTCTTCAAAATGATCGGATATACCCAGAAGCTGCATTAATATTCTATTGTCGTCAACATCATTAGATTCTTGATCATCGGTCGTTGTTGGGTTTATCTGCAGAGAGCTTTGTTGGGTTAAAGGTGGAAATTCAGGAGACAGAGATAAAAATGCTTGTGGGGCTTCACTGTTCCCACTTTCTTGGAGAGTTGGGCTGTTGTGGGTTTGGTCTAAATGGAGATATATAGGGGAGCCAAGCAATTCTGTTGATGATTTAAACTTAAGAGTTGCTTTCTTATAGTGGTAGTGTAGAAGAGGGGTGTTGTGTCTGATGTTCAAGGGTAATTCTTTTCTCAACCTGTCCGCAAATTAAAAGATAAAAAAAAATAAAAAAAAAATGAGGTAGAAAAGGATGGTGCTTGATAGAGAATTAAATTGAGAACTGGAGCACTGGAGATACCTGCTTGACTGAGGAGAAGAAACTGGACTGCCGAGATGGTGGCTGCATTGTTTGCATGAAAATCAGGGGTGTCACTCTGTTTATGCAAATAAAAATTTAAACCATTAAACTGACTCCCCTGTCCTCTTTGGTGAAAGCTACAAGAGGCTTTTGGATCTCACTAGTATAACTTGTGTACAACTTAACTTGAGAATCAACTATAGAGCAATTGCAATAACTTTAAAACTGTAGATTGGCACAGCAAAAACTTGAAGAAATGTTGCAGTACCGTGTCAGCAGCAATTCAATCAAACTACATGAGACAGCCAACATAATGAGCTCGAGGATACTTTCTCTGTAATTCTGGCCATTGCACAAAGAACTGATCAGCTATGTGTAACTTGTAAAGAAGCAAGCCACTTAAAGAAAGCCTTTTTACTCTTGCTATACTCTCAACATAGAAAACAGAAGACCATATATTC